TGCTTTTCTCAAAACAATTATTCGTCAACTTTAAATTTCATACATTAGCTTGAAATTTAGAACAGTTGAATGAAAAGGTGTTTTGCTTAGCGAAATCACCTTTGCAAGGGTACAAGATGGATGTTGTACCCCGAGAACCTTTTAGAAGATAAGGATCTTTCGCATTCTTGAAACTCCCACGACTTTCTTCAGGTGCCTTAAAGCCGGCACTTCGTGTGCTGCGAGTGGATGTCGTGCATGATAAGCAGAAGCACAGCTGAGAGGAAGGGCTGGGTTTCGACAACTGCCTAATTTTTTTTTATCTTGCTTGTGCATAATTGTGTATAAATACTTACTCTTACAAAATTGTCTAGTAATGTTGAATAGGCCACGTAAGTAACGATCTAGCTGTTAACATTGCGGACCGTCTATGAACATTTGCGATGGTAGTAATTGCTAATAGACCCTCGAAATGCCTCCTGCTTACAATCACTTAAACCCTATATTATGTAGACCGTCTAAATCCGTCCTCCTCCTTATTTTTTAATTACTATAATCTGCACGTAACAATCAGGACCTAAGCAGGCGTAATAATACTATTAATAATAATGCACCCATTCAGGCTCTTGTTGCCCCTATGCAAGCACACCTGCTTATGTACCTATACAGGCCATTGCACTGCTGCTGCGTAAGCAAGAAATGCTCCCACATGGAAGTCTTCGCATAGATTGGTGTGCTAACATAAACGAGTACATGTACTTTGTAAGTATAGTGCCGTACGTATTACCCAAGAAGCCGACGGTGTGCCAGTCGTTCCTTCTTGAGTTTTTCATTATCTTTGGAATCAAGAGCACTGGCTAGTGCAATGACTTTTTTGCCCAATTTTGAAAAAAAATCGGCCGTGTATCTGCTTGCCTCACTGCAAATGTCGAAAACCGATTCTTGCCTCAGACAGTGCCCCTCTACGTTGAGTCAGCTGCATCTAGCTGACATAGATGAAATAGATGAGGCACAGCGCGACATATGGACGCCATTTGGCACTGCTGACGGGCAACATGAGCTTGTGCAGAAGCTAAGGCCACTGCCAGCTGGCTGGACCACATTTTCGACAGAGGACTTTTTCGTTCATAGCATCGCATTTTTAGCGCAGCGTAAGAAACACTAGAGTCTTTAGAATTACAGATATATGTGTTTTCCAGTAAAAAAACACTCCACCCTATACTTCATTCTTATTTTATTTATTTATTTGTTTGGGCATTTTCACAAAACGCCCGCAAAGAGGGTAAAAGAAAAAAGTGGCTCCTGACTTGGCCCATTCTTCGGGAGGCACCTCGGGCAGGCGCAGCAAAACAGTACATAGATATATGCAATATTATACGCATAATGTATAAATAAACGAGGAATACAACAACAAGCGGGAAATATCGGTTAAATTTTAGACAAAGCTGTTTCTTAGCGATAAATACAAAGGCGTTATCAGCACTAATTACATATATTGAAATAAAAACAATTTGCGTGTAATAATAAAAGCAAATATAAAGATAATGAATACAACAAATATATTTATACATTACGAATCTTCAGCCCACGCACGCTATAAGAGGGTTTGGATTATTACATTCGCCATTCGCTTCCTAAATTTTGTAATAGTTTTTGTCTCCCTAGAGTATTTTATTACTTCAGGAATCTTGTTGAACAGTAAAACTCTTTGGTTATCAATTGACTGTATGCCATATTTAGTCCGACACATCGGCCCCACTAACGCAGCGGTACGTAGGTTGTGTATAAGACCTCTGCTTAAGTACGTATAAAAAAAACTCGAGAAGTTATTTCTCATATTTGTAAATAACATGGATAGTTACACCTTATAGCGCTCTGGGAATGGTATAGCGTTGTACACACAAAAAAGGGAGGTATTTGTGGGGACCCAAGTAGTTAGCAGATGCAGTGCACGTTGTTAGAGAAGAATACTACGTTCACCGTTTTGTTAGACGTACCCCGGACTAAAATGCAAAACGTGAAATGCAAATCGCCAAGGGTGCAAAGTTCCGCTTCTGTCCGATACTGTATTCCCCTTCTATAGCTTCCAGACTACAGAACAGTGATTGTAGGAAGTTTCGATGGCTGTCGCGCTACTGACCGAGCCAGTGAACTTGATCAACTCAAGGGCTTCAAGCACTTGGGGACCTAAAGGTATCGAGAGCAAAGGCGAGACCACGTACATTGTTCGACAGACAATTCGTTGATTCAACAGCATAGTAGCAAGAAACTTTCCGAGCACATGCAGCGGCTCATTCGCACAGCCTGTTAAGGTTATGTCACAATTCTCCAAGTTGGTAGGTAATCCCGAACACGTTGAGGGTACAACGAACACTTCTTCGCCCAAATATACTTGAGGGAACACCGGAGAGCCGCAAATGTCAGCTTGAGGATACCGTGAATTAGAGTACTGCCCATTTACTGCAGCTACGACATACGCCCCCTAGTCCATATTGAAGGAAGAAAGGTGTACCTTCTTTCACTTGCTTGCACCGTTTTTAAACTCTCCACTGCGAAATTCTGGAGCAACCGCACTAGTAGTGATTTGAAGCTCGTGCTAAGCAGGAGGTCCTCGGGTGCTCTCCTTTACCACAGTTGGCGCAGGAACTGGGGGTGAAAGGTCGGTACCGCTGTGGTCTGGTACGTTGATCTTGTGTGACAGGTGCACTCGTATTTTAACGTTGTCCTGAATAATTCTTCTAGGGTGGTCGTTTGTTGGCCGCGTCCAGGTGGCTGGCGCTGCCGAAGGTTCGTCGATGCTTTCTCGCAGCTGTTGCTGCTGTCATCGGGTGGTCCTTCAAGTGAGCTTTTGCCAAAGCTCTCGCGAGTGTCAAATAGGCATCCATTTGCAGATACTTCAAGAGCTTCGCATTACTGAGGCCGACCACAAACCGGTGACGGATCATGCGCTCTTTTTCCTTGTAGTTGAACCAGTCTACCAGTGTGTGCAATGAGGTAATGATTTCGTCGACTGACTCTCCAGGTTGTTGTATGCATCTGTGAAAACATGTACTCTCGTAAACGACGTTGTGTGACCACGGAGTGATCGCTGAATGTTTTTTTTTCTGGCGACTTCACACCGCTTCTGTTCAGATAGTGCGAAGGTTGAAAAGATCTGTCTCACTGGCCTGCCCACTGTGTAAAGTCAGGACTTTCATTATTCGCTCTTTAAAGCCAAAGGCAAAGTGGTAGTTGTGGAACAGTTGAAACTAGGAAGGCCATTCAGGCGTCTGGTAGAAATAAAACGTTCGCGAAGCTATAACAGTGAGCTTGGCGTGAACTGTCTTGACTACTTTGTCTTCTGACATGGCGTTGGTAGACGAAGACTGGCGGAACGCCCCTGAAATACCAATAAAAGGCCACTTCTGACACTATGTCGTGTTGCGGCCTACTGAAAAGCCATGTGCAGCTCGGCCGGCCGAAGGAACAAGGATAAGGAATTTAGCCACTTCCAACACCCATGAGATAATGTCAACCTTTATTCCAAACAACCCGCATACCCCCCCCCCCCCCGCATTCTAGAACACCCCTTCATTCAACGCTCCACCTTAACTCGAGAAAGCCGATGGGAGCACCATCTCAAGGTAGGGAAAGTCGCTGCATATCAGTGGCAATTTGCTGCTATTCTTGAGTAGCGCAGCGTCATTTTCAGCCGACCAGCGGCGCAGTGCGCAACTTTGTCAAGTGAAGGGTGAAATTCGAGTCGAGGAGTGTTTGTGAATACGGGGTACATATATAGCAGACACTCATGTGACTAATGATGTAACGTACAAGCACCACTTCACAATTTTGGGCAACAGCGCCACATATCGTGGACACATGACGCGCATATGTGCTATCATCACAGTTGTAAACTCACTCGTTCCTTTATCAGCAAGGTGTTGCTTCGCCTAGTTACGTTGAACACAATTCATCAATTACGACAGCTAATTTTATACTAACCGCCACTTGACTGAAGCGCGAAACACGGCCTGATACCCGTCGAAACTGCCGCGACTTTTTTAGGCTGAGTAGTTAAACAATTGAGTAAACATTCGATGCTTTTGCTGTACGGCTTCATAGAGCCCTCAAACCCGGGATTACTCTGAGCTTATTGCCGATGCACTGCTCATTTATAAAAATCAAGGTCATGCCTCTACATTGCAAGTTTTATGTGTGGCATAGAACTGTATCATTGATCTATATCCTGAATACAATTTTGAAGTGTCGTATAGTACAGTATCATTCATTTTCATAGCGAATAAAAAATTATCCAGTGCACTTGTGAGTCATCATTTTTCCATGTTTTCTTTTAAAGTCGCCCTGCAACACTTTTTGAGCAAGGCCGGAAAACGCTGCCGATTGATAGTAGAGGCTCCGCAGCGTGCGGCCTTGAAGTCGCAATAAACTATTGAAGTCCACTAAAAACTGCTTTCTCTTCTCTCGACAAATCATGGAAGACGCTCAAAAATCACTTGTAAAAAGCCCATCTGTCAGCCATTGGCTGATTTTAACATGGCGCGCTCGGTCGCTACAGAGCTCGCCGCAGGAGGCCGCGACTTGTCTACGCGTGTGCGCACGATCAAGTTGACAAAGCCGCGCATTTAAAGAATAAAAATAAAAAGCGCTCAAGGTTACGAAGCACAAATGATGTTTTTCTTTGACCCTGCCATCCCACCAAGCTTAGCTGCCAGCGCTTTTGTCAGGGCGAGAAAAGAGGGAATGAAATTTAGTATGCGGCAAATCTTTGTAACACCACTCGCACTGGACTGATTAATAAAATTTTCGCGTTGTTAAATTTGCGAGGCAATAAGCTCTTCCAGTGAATTATTTACATGCTTACCTGAAAAGTGTTTCAAAGCCCCTTTAAATTCGTCAGATACTACATACGATTCTAAGTGAACGCGATTTCTGCGCTAAAAAGCTTACCATTTAACTATGACGAAACAATTTCTAGCCAATCATCTCACCAAACTCACATTGTTCCTTTCTTTTTTGCGCAGAAATTTTCAACATTCGTCAGCGTCACAATAAGCCTGCTGGTCGGGGCTGTCGTACTAAGTGAGTATCACCAGGCACTTCTGCCCTCATCCCTCAGTTAAGCACTCTGTTTGAATGCTTTAACTCGTAATAGCCCAATGATTAAGGGGACACAAGCAGCATTATCCATCAATAAAATAGGTGTCTACCTGCGAATAAAATATGTTTATATCAGCGCACGTAGTCACTCTCTCTCTCTCTTTCTCTCTCTCTCTCTCTCTCTCTCTCTATATATATATATATATATATATATATATATATATATATATATTTATATATATATATATATATGCCAAAAACAAAATTGATGCTGGGTCCGGGTAAGATTATCCGTAGGGAAGAAGACGCATGTATGAAGTGTTTTTATTGCCGTTTCGGCCGCGGGTCCGGCCTTCATCAGAAGGATGAAGGCCGGACCCACGGCCGAAACGTCAATAAAATCACTTCGTACGTGCGTCTTCTTCCCTACGGATATATATATATATATATATATATATATATATATATATATATATATTGGCTTGAGCGGACAAACATACAAAAACTTTTAATACTCCTACATTTCGGTAGGGGTCCGGCCTTCGTCAGGAAATACATTGCAAACGTCAACGTGCTGCTTATATACATTGGGGGCCCCCAACACGTGTCTTTAATATCTAATGTCACATATATGACAGTGGCACACAAATTAACATGCGAAATAGCACGATGTGATAATGACAGGACTATATCACGAAACGATAATATACGGCGAAGTCTGCGCAGCAAAAAAGGGCGTTTTTCATAGTCACGAAAAAAATCAACATAATAACATCGGTGATTATGGACAGCTAATGCATTTAACAACATTGCGTTAAAACAACTCGATGAAATAACAAGAAACATAGGTAAACAGCCAGCAACAATGCACTTTAAAAACTAACAAAAACAGGTGGAAAGCAACGAGAACAGCAATATAAAATAACATAGGTGAATTATGTGGCAATGGTGATTTAAAAAAACATTTAGGCAAAAGTGAGATACATGGCGTTCATAAGAATGAAATATGACAGAATTGTAGGTAACAGGCTGAAAACTGATGAAAGCGGCAGACATGTGATATGGAATTTAGCTTTGTCCGTGACATAGTGATCCCGTTGCTGAACGTGCGCCCAGGAACGTGAGCTTTCCTGCGCTTTCGTTAATGCCGAATGACAGTGCTTTAAATTTGTAGATGAAAAATGATTCGCGTGCTTCCCGTTCGTGGCGGGATTTAAAACCAGATTCTAATATGGTTGCTGTAAGGTTATCGAGTGAATGTCCTGTCGCATTCAGGTGCTTAGATAGGGGTAGGTTAGGAAAAGTTGTGACATGCGCCTTGTAGTTATTAAACCGCAGTCTGAATGGTGTCGCTGTCTAACCTAAGTACTGAAGCTTACAGACTGAGCACTCAAGTAGGTACACACAGTTACTCGTATCGCAATCGTAATCACCTTTAATTTTCATTGTGAAATTTGACGCCGAACTCTGGGCCGAAATAGAGGTGGTGATGTGTACGCAAACTTTGCAACGTGGTTTGCCACAAGAGTGGCAACCTGAATAGGCAGGATGAGTTAGTACAGATGAAGTCAGCATATTGTGCAAGTTTCTCGACCGGCGATAGATTGCATGTGGCGATTCCGAAAATATGTTTTTGAGACGGTCGCTCTGCATAAGAATGTTGTGTGGCTTCGTAGGATGTGGCTAACGTTTGGTGCTGATGCGGAATGCGTTAATATGATGTTTGTAGATGGTCGCTGTTGAGTAGGCTTGTTGGAGTGGAGGAGCACGCTCCCCTACATTTCATTAGCACGTTTAGTGGCATCGTCAACTATCTGAGGTGGGTACTTTTGTCTTCTTAGCGTATCGCTGCGCTTGTCACAATTATCCCTGAAGTCAGATTGTGCGGAGCACAACCTTTAAACACGGAGCGCCTTGCTGTACGGTATGCTTGTCTTGTTGTGTCTAACGTGGCTACTTTCAAAATGAAGGTAGCGGGGTCTATCAGTCGACTTTCTGTAAAGCTTTATCGTTAGTTTATCACCTGATATGCATACCGTGACGTGCAGAAAGCTTATGCTTGATGCCGAGGAGACGAGCGAGAAGGAGATTGATGGATAAAAATTGTCAAAGCTTGCAAGAAAAGACAAAAGTTCAGTTTCCTTGTGATGCCATATCAAAAAGATGTCCTCAATAAAGCGCTTATAGTAAAACGGTTTTAGGGTGCACGTGGCAAGAAACCTGTCCTCCAATGTGCCCATGAATATATTGGCGTAATTCGGTCCTATCTTCATGCCCATCGAGGTGCCACTCGTCTGTACATAGTGGGTTTGATTAAATTCGAAGTTATTTAGTTGCAGAATTAGTTTTGAAAGGAAGGCTAGAGTTCAGCTGTCAATAGGTTTGTCTAGTGAAGATTCGTCATTTGCACGTATAACGGACTGAATGCCGTCGTCATGCGGGATATTCGTGTATAGAGAAGCTACGTCTAGAGTGACTGGTAGTGCTTTGTCGGGGACGTCAAGATCAGTAATGTCACTCAAGAATTGGTTAGTCTGTCGAAGATACCAGGGAAAGGAGGCGGGAATTTCTATGATAAGAGCGTCAATGTAGCCGGAAAGAGGTTCAGTAACCGTACCTATAGCCGAAAATATTGGACGACCAGGGCTATTTGGTTTGTGCACCTTCGGTAATAAATAAAACCTTCCTGCAACAAGACTAAGCGGTATTAGTGAATCCATCGTATTTTTAATGATGCACCCTTTTTGTAAATGTTCCCTTAGGGCCTCGGCAATAATGCCTTTAAAGTCCTCAGTTGGGTCGTGACCGAGCTGCCTATAATATGCAGTGTCGCCTAACTGTCTCAATGCTTCAGTGATATAATCAGAGGTATTTATTACCACTACTGCACCGCCTTTGTCAGCGGGCTTAATAACAATGAGTCCTAATGGCTTTTCTTACATTTGAGGTCAAGTTGTGTTTAAAAGAATTTTTCTGGTTGTATGGTTCAAGAATATCGTGTTGGACAGCTGAAATATACATATCAAGGCACTTGTCACGTTGTACCTGTGGTGTCGAATGTTTACTGGATGACACGCTGTTGGATGAGGATCGTTCATGAAAAAATTTGCGTAGTTTCATGTTCGGTGCGAAGTCGCCAAAGTCCTTTACGAGCTGAAATTCATTGTCCCTGCCAGTTGCCGGACAGGTGTTGAGACCACAAGAAAGAAGAGAGATTTTAGGGTTTGTAAGTTTGATGTTCGAGATGTTGATAAGGTTAGTAAACTGGTTTTCATTATCAATAGCCTGAGTGGATATATTTGAAGCGCTGGTGGACGGGAGTGCTGGTAGCGGTGGAGATAGAACGTTATCGCGAACTATCTTTGCAGATTTCCTTGCTTGGATTTCTAATCGCTTGCTTTGTTCGTAATCTTGAAGAGAAATACGTTTGTCGGAACTATTTGAATGAGCGCTTCGTAGCTGTCGTTCTTTGCTGCTCAAGATCTTTGCCAATAAGCTGTAGTGTTTGATTACAACGCGGGTAAGGTCCAAAGACGATTTCCCCAGCGTGTCATTCCAATATACTAAAATATGGCTAGACATTTCCGATGTAGCTGGTTTGAAGGGAAGCTGAAGGTGTTTTGGTACTTTTTGTGAAGGTATGTATGACGCCAGTGTAAGCTCATGTATTTCACATCGCACACGTTTTTCAATAACTTTCCTAATCTTTAGGAAATCACTGGAGTGTACAGTTACACTGGTGGGGGTATTTGCGAGTCAATCACGTGAAGTAGTCACTGTTGTAGAGCAATTAGCACTTCTCAAAAAGTATGGATGGGAACATGAAAAATCAATTTATTTATACACTTCTTTCCCCTATTCATTAACGAGGGTCTCGTACTGGCAGACTTGGTGTCGTTAGGTGGTATACAACGGACTGTTGGTCAGCTGCCCGCTCGTAATAAGTTCACGTTCTATGTGGCGCCACACATGCGCATGAAAGGGTGTTCCACTCTCGCCGCTTGGCTTATAGATGGTGTGACCGACATCCCTACTTCTAAATTACACATATAAACCCAAAACAGTGGGTGGAGGGAATGCCACTGTGATAGCTCAGTGGTTAGAGCATCGAAATTCGAAGGTCGTAGGTTCGATATCTGCTCACGGCTGGTTATTTTTCACTCACTTTTCTTTCTTCTTCTTTACATTCCATTTGTTCTAATAACTTTTCCTATACATTTCTTGGCAATACTGTCTGTTAGATCACAATATTATTGTGTCAAAACACAGATAAACGAGCCCTTAGGTATACACTTCTTTCCATTATTCATTAACGAGGGTCTCATACTGGCAGACTTGGATTCGTTAGGCTGTATACGAGAAACTATTGTTCAGCTGCCCGCTCGTAATAAGTTCACGTGCTACGTGACGCTACACATGCGCGTAAAAGGGTGTTCCACACTCGCCGCTTGGCTTATAGATGGCGCTGACCGACACTCATACTTCTGAAAATCACATATAAAGCCAAAAATGTGGATGGAGGGAAGGCCGCTGTGATAGCTCAGTGGTTAGAGCATCGAACGCGTTATTCGAAGGTCGTATGTTCTATTCCTGCTCACGGCTGGTTATTTTTTCACCCACTTTTCTTTCTTCTTATTTACATTCCATTGGTTCTAATAACTTCCCCTATACATTCCTTGGCAATACTGTCTGTTATATTTCATATATATAAACGCGCGTGTGACTAAGAAAAGACACATTTCGCAAAACAAAGTGTTCTTTTGCCGTTCCGGCCGGCAACAGACCACGTTTCGAACCGCGGCTAAAACATGAGAAAAACATTGTTTTTTTTTTCAAGTCTGTCTTCTTAAATTGAAATTGTCTGCTTGCGTATCGTGCAAGTCCAGTAGCAAGTAGATCCTCCGTGAGTGGTCACCACGTGGTTTATTTCGACGTTTCGGCCTAGAGTCCGGCCTTCATCAGGATTAAGGGTTCAGTTTGTT